GAGAGAGAGAGAGAGAGAGAGAGAGAGAGAGAGAAAGCACAAAATGTGTTCTAGAACATGAAGTTGGTGTTTCTAGAGGATACTTTTATTTTATCTCAACTGGGAAAACATTTTATAGAAGCACCTTGGTTGATTGATCTTTCACCTTTTCTATTCTTTATATTGAAGAAAAAAATTATTTCCAGGAAAGAGGCAAACGAGCATGTAGATTTGGCTTTGTTTTGATATTACTTAATCATATCCCACCTATTTGTCATGTCGTCAAGACATTATCCAGGCTTTTTTGGACTTGTTATACTTCTCGGCGTTCTCGCTACCTTTGCTACTGTTTTACGCGCAACTGTGTGCTCATGCACTCACTGAGAATATTCAAAATAAATTGATGATGTAAAATGTGGACACATTTTTTGCACATGTACACCGAGAAACCATATTTAGGATAAATTGGTGTGTAGAATATGGATACTTCTCTGGTGCAAGACGTGTTTGTCTTTCTATTTTGCCATATGTGTTTTTCTGTTTCATGTGGTTGATTCGACTCTATTGGTGGTTGCAGGAGAACATAAAAAGATGTGTTTGTGTTATCTATGATCCCTCAAAGTCCAACCAAGGTGTCTTAGCTCTGAAGGCCTTGAAGCTTTCTGATTCTTTCATGGAACTTTACCGAAATAATAATTTTACGGGGGAGAAGTATGGGCTTTTTATTTTATGGAAAAATATCTGATGGAAATGAACTATATTCAGTCATTCTTTATTTTTATTTTTTGGTATTTTGATCCATAGGTTAAGAGAGAAAAATCTGTCATGGGTTGATATCTTTGAAGAGATACCGGTATGCTTTTGATGTTTTTTTGTTTCTTCTTTGCACTATCTAGTATATGTTCACGTCTTGACATCTAAAAATGTTATCATTAGATATACCATGGCCATTAATTCTAGTGAGTTGTGATTCATGATGCGTGATTGTCTGGCTGGCATCCATTCACATGCTTAACCATGTTGCTTAGGTGTTCTTGTGGTCAGCTTTTTTGATGATGGTGGATTCTAATCAATGTAAAGCTTAAATTTGTTTAGCTGCATGTTAAAGAATCTATTTTGATGATTTATGGAAACATTGGCTTCAGTGTTGTTCTGGATTGCGACTTCAAGACTCCCAAGGCATTCATGAATGCTAGTTTAACTGTCTGGGATACAATACTTCTGAACTTAAAAAATAATACATTTTGAAATCATGGTTATTGATTTTCATGGGGTTTAATGATGCTTCTTGTCTTTAACAGATAAAGGTTTCAAATTCTGCTCTTATCAGCGCTTTCATGACTGAGCTCGAAGCCGACACACCTGTCACCCAGGTAGTTTTCAATCGGCACATAAGGGACTTTCCATTGACATTGGTTCTAGGGTAATTTCACTTCCCCCCCCCCCCAAAAAAAACACCCACCCACACACTCTCTCTCTCTCTCTCTCATATGGTTAGGTTCCTCTGCACAGCACCCCCTCACCTTAAAAAACAACCCCATAAACCTCAGGCGGTTTATGCACTAAAGTGCACGGGTACACTTTCCGTTCAACTCAACCGGATGTGTCAGTCACATGTTTGGAGCCTTGGAATGTAGAAATACCTTTTTAGAAGAGAAACTCCGTTGCAATTCTTGAATCCGGACCCAAACCTGACCTACCACTGATCTTCCTCCTCTCCTCTCTTTATCTCTTGACAACTAACCCCCATTCTGGTGTCTACCCCTAGCTCCCTGCTCCCTCTCGTCGATTTAGCTCACGACATGAATAGAACTACCATTAACAAACCTGTTTGACGTTGGATCTTGTGCTTCTGGTTGTGTCTTTACTAGAAGGAAGGATTGGTGGTTTTGTGTGGATTAATGGCAAAATCATGCTCAGTCGCTATCTGGAAAAATACAATTCTCTCCTCATTGTTTGTTCACTCCATCACACAATCTCACACTTCGCCAGTCTTCAGTAGAGAACAATCATGGCGGTTTGTTCAGAAACAGTTGGGTAGAGTTGTGTGGCAGTCTCTGCCTTCATTGATCACACCCAACACCACTGGGGGCTTTGTCTCATCTGAATACAACCATACTTGAATGGCTATAATGTAACCACCAAAATTGGCAATGTAGCAACACTCATAACCATTGTTGTTAGTATCGTACGATACGTAGATACGTATCGTACGATACGTTACGATACAGCCCTAAAACGATACGGATCGTAGTTATGTATCGTTTTTGCGTTGTATCGTCCGATACACGATACGTTTTTACGATACGATACGTATCGGTACGATACGCACGATACGTGCAATTTTTTTTTTTTTTTTTTTTAAACGACGTCGTTTTGTGCTCTGATTTTTTTTTTAAAAAAACGACAAGTGAAGACTTGTTGGCATCCGATCACAATGATGATGATGATGATGCATTTTCAATTGAAATTGAAGATTGAGTTCAAAATGGATGTTAGAAATTTGGATTAGAAGTCTCTTTGGTGTTTAAAGTTTGAATTAGTGAACTATGGTTGTGAACTTTGCATTATAATAGTAGTGGATTATGTTGATAACTTGAATAATTGGTGGAGTATTAATGAAATGCTATATTTTTTATGAGTGTATGACTTTTTTTCAAAGGTATATATATTTTTTTATTATTTATTTAAAATTGCATCGTATCTTACGATACACGATACGATACACGATACGATACAATATTTGTATCTTACGATACGCCTTCCGATACACGATTTGATAACTATGCTCATAACTACTAAAGACAATTAAGTGTGAAGTAATTATAATTTTTTCTGTGTATGGGTTCCTGTGGTGGGATGGCAGTGTTGTATAATTGTCCTATAGATAGCGAGGAGAGAAGGATACAGAAAAGAGAGAATTGTGATTTGTGTTGATGGTTGTGGCTCTCTCTGAAATCTTGCTCTGTTTTTGTATCTCTGTATGGACACTCTACCAATGTTGCTGTATCAAATTAACCAATTGAATCTCGTCAGTGATGCTGTCACCACCTCCTCCACCTCTGGCGATGACAGTGTAATTCTGCCTAGGGTGGTGGGAAATTGACTGATTTGTTTCACGAGGTGTACTAAGATAGTTTTACAAGTACTTTGAGGTAAGTTAATTTTGAACTTTGGTCTATTGGGTTGTGCGGCTATTTTTAAAGTTGAGGATGTGATGTGTAGAGGTAACCACGGGGTATAACATTGCCCTTAAATCTATGATAAGCTGTAATGCCATTTTTCTTTCTTCTGCTAGTGTGATTATGATCGGCTACAATTATCAACCAATCCATTTTTGGAGAAGAATGTAGAATTTTTGATCGAATGCATGGACGATTTATCAATGGAACAGCAAAAGGTTATTTTTTTTCTTGGTTCTATACTTCTCTTTTCTCTTCTTTGGAACTTGATATACATTTTTAGTTGTTTACCTGACAAGAGAGTTTTCTGTTTTAGTTCCAATACTACTATCGGAATCTGTCACGCCAGCAGGCCCAGCAGCAAGCATGGCTTCAAAAGAGAAGGTAACTTGATTTTTGAATGTATGGGTCTTCTTTGTGACATATTTAGTTGTTAATTGAGAAACTCTGGTGTTTATCCACATCATTTTATTTGAGATCAATGAGATATCCCTTGGTGGCGTTTCTCCTTTCAAAAAGATGAAATCTTGGTAAGAAACTTGGATGGATTCTATGCTTGACAGAAAGAGTGGTTCACGAAGTAAATAATTTTTTATGATTCCATTGTGTTAGTTGTATGGATGTATGCATATTTGGAAAGTATCCACAACATGATGTTGGCCTTGAGGCATTACCTTTGTATCATGTCTTTTACCTTGAAGGAATAAGGAAATGTTTGATCTGTATCAGCCTTTTGAGTTGATCTTGGTCGGTGTTGCCCCTTCTAAGCGTTAATCTGTGAAGGTTATGTTTTGTATGATTTTTCTTGAAGGTTCAAGGGACCAACTATGTTTAAGTTTTCTATGTTGTAGGCTGGAATGGGAGTAACATTGGTATATTAGTAAGCTTGTTAATATCTAGAAATATATTTTTATCAAGCCATGTCTGCCTTGTTAGTAATCTTTCTGTATATGTTTGTGATTTTTGTTTATTGATCCTAGTAATATCATTGTTTTTGCTTATATCTTTTATTAAATTCTGAATGCTAGACCAAAATTTATGCGGGATCTGCCTGAATCCATGTTGGAAATACATCACAATATGACCAAAGAGGGAATTTTGTTCAACACCTTCTTTGGACCTAACAATGACCTTCTCTTGTTCCCTATAAGTATTTGTTAACATCAATTCATGTTTGTTTCAGTATGTGGTGCTTGGAATAGTAGTAGTATGTGCATTACCAAGCCAACTTATGTCTATGATGTTAATGTATGCAAAACTCCTAGTGGGGGTTGCATGGGTTGGCTAGCTAGATTAGGTTGCCTTATTATGTGGGCATCAAACATGTCATGCAAGTGAACACTTTGATGTGAATTGGCTAATCTTGACTATTTTGTATTAAAGAATGAGCCTTTGAATGTTGGGTTGGTACATTGATCACGAACTCGTCTGTACTAATGTGACTTTTGCTTTGGCATGTCTTCTTGTATATTTGAATTTTTTTTAAATGAAAAATCATTTGGGAAGTTTATTTTGTTTTTAATGGTTATATTACTGAAGATCCTAATACTTTCCGACAAGGATTAAATTTCGTCGAAACAACAGAGATTGAAACAAATTAGCGATAAAATCGAAATTCTAAAATTTTGAGATGGTTCAGAATGTTTCGAAGGGTTTCAAGATAGTACGACATATTTTCAATATTGTTTCGAAATGTTTCGATGTGTTTTAAGATGTTTTAGTATATTTGAAATCATGTTTCAGAATGTTGTGGAAATAAAGTATTAAATTTTTTTTTTTTGTTTTTATGTTGTTTTTGAAACGTTTCTATTTCCTATATGACCGAAACAATGCACCAAAACAAAATTTTAATCTATGCTTTTTGATGAGAAGTTCTGAACAACTAACCTCTAAAGCTCATTCACAAAAGCTTTTAGAATAACTTTGCATTGTTTGTTTGGTCATGTTAGTCCACTTGTGTTGCATATATCTTATAGAATAGATCAGATGAATAATTGATAGGAGCTAAATGCAAAAGTGAGGCAGGTATATATGGAATTTGAATTCTTTCTTTGGTTGAGAAAACAAATCCAGGAAAGACAAATGCTCTTTGCAGCATTTATGGGTTTATAAGCATTTAATGTTGTTTAAGTTACTCCCAAACCTCAGGCCTGCCATCCCAAAAAGTGAAGAATATAGCTTTGTTGTTGATAATTTCAAGGTTGAATAGTGAATAGTGAATCAGTGATGAAAAAAGTGGCAGGCTGGTGTATCGGAGGTTTGTTTGAAGAATAATATTTGTTGATGTAGAAGTGACAATAATATATGTTAAAAAAAATATTCATTAATTTTGGTTGTGAAATTGGTCGGTATGAACTACCATATACTGTATACTTTCCCAATTGAAAAATGTAACAGAATGCGTCCAGTTTTGCAAATAATCTAGTCAAATATTTATGGGATATTTCTTAATAACTACATTCTTGTCTTGCCTTGCCACGTTTATGTCTTGTTTTTTAGGATTTTGGCTGCTATGATTTTCAGCAATCATTCCCATGTATTGTGAAGATTTTATCATCATAAACCTTAGCTGTCACTGCTATATTTTTTAGATTGATTTCAAACAAGTGGTGTTACTAAACTTGTTACTGAAAGTCCACAATTTTCTAGTAAACAATTTAGAGAAGGAAAAGGCAATTTGCCAGATGGATGATAATGTAAAACTCCTTAGTAAGTTTGATTAGGGCTTGGTATGGTAGAGTTCTGTAAATGAAATGAGTTATTATTGGGATTTGAACTGGAACTTATAAGTGATGATGTGGTTATAAATTAGATAGCAAAGAAGAATCTCACCTATAGTTCTTTATCTTATGTTTATCGTATAAGCTTTAGATTGCTTAACACATCAAGCAAATCGGCTAAATTTTTTTTCTGTACATTCCTTCCCTTATTTGATGATTATGTAGTCCATTGGACTTCCTTACACAGAACTAGGACTCCAATTTGGTAAGGTTTCAAACTCTGACTGAATAAGAAATTATGGCTCTATTTTAAGCTACATAAAATTAGCTATTTACATAGTTTCATCCAGACTAAACACATGAACCACAACTAAAGCCCATACCTAATAAATCTTTTAATTGTTAAAATACCATTTACTTCTACAACATAGCAAAAATTACGTAGAACCAGCAGATTTGTTTTTGTTCAACATAAAACTTGATTACTGAGGTCCAAAGTAGATTGTATGTGGAAATCTTGATATTGTCCCTTGTCATGCTCTGATGCTTTGCACTGTTCCTCCGCTGATGTAATCAGGAGAAAGATTGAAATTGGGGCACAGCAAAAACTTGTCTGCTTTATTTGCTACTAAAATATTAATTTTTTAGAGTAGAATTTTTTTCTCTTGCTTTATTTGTAAACTTTTTGGAAGCTTTGAATAAACTATCTTGTAAAAGAAGAAATTTTTTTGTCAGCCAAGCTTAACAAATCTTACAGATGTAATTTCCCGGATTGATGTTGAAAGAGCAATGCTTTGGTGCCTTTTATTTTTTCAAATTTTCTGATTTTTTGTGGATAGCAGTGCCTTGGCTTTTTTAAAATTACGATCAGTGCTTAAAAAAGTAGTTTTAGGTATGCAATCTTACTTCAATCTTTTTAGTGTATTATGACACTCTTATATGCTAAGTAAGTTCAAATGGTTAAAAATTCTGTGTAATTGCTTATGCAAATTTGGACTGATATCATCCCAAACATGTTTCCCCAGGGTATAAAATAAGCCATGGACTATCTGATTGTTCTTTTGTGCCATTTTAATGATCCAAATATTAATCAATTTGTTTAAGGACTTGTTTAGCTAGTCAGTGCATGGTGGTTATACATTTTTTCCTTTATTTATCGGTGCCTTGTAAGCACTTGCGCACCACTATTAGTCGGGGGATTAAAGCATGTTGTAGTGCCTTGGTTAGTGGAGGATGATGAAGCACGAATACTCTGTTTTGGTCAAAGTATCCGTATTTACTTCTAAGTTTTAACCCTTTATTATCGAATTCTCATGCACCCTTTGAAGACACAAGGATGTTTCTCAAGTAATATCTACTGTCACGTGTCAAAAGAACATAAAATGACAAGTAAATCAACTAATTAAATTCTGGTTATGATTACTTTGGTTCACCACATACACATTGTGGATACAATGAAGCGACCTCTAAAATTATAATGCTAGACTCATCAGATAAAAAATAAAAAATATATGTATTTATGGACGTATTTTGGCCGTATCCGTATCATTTGTTGTCTGGTTTTGTCCATATCATATCGTACTCAGCTTGTATCTGTACCCATCATGCTAACTAGGTTGAGGCAAAAACTTCTATACACTGGTTAAGAAGCTTGTGTCCTTCAACTTGAAGGGTTAAAGGGACTGGCATTGAGGATTTAGCTTTCGTGTGGATCCAACAATGCAAAAAGATTTAAAAGAATGAAGAAATAAGCAAGGATTAAATATCATGCTATGACTATGTAACCTAGTCTTGGGGATGAAATAGGCTGAAATGCATGATATATAGAGCTTATGCAGGGCATTGGTATGTACATGAACTGCATTAGTCACCATGGAACCTCCTACTTTTTTCTTTTATATTGTATTTGATACTTTTACCTCTTATTGGATAAAATGAAAGGATGCCCAGGATGCTGCAATGTGGTTTCTCTTCTCAATATATAANTTTGTCATTTTGTCCATATCATATCGTACTCAGCTTGTATCTGTACCCATCATGCTAACTAGGTTGAGGCAAAAACTTCTATACACTGGTTAAGAAGCTTGTGTCCTTCAACTTGAAGGGTTAAAGGGACTGGCATTGAGGATTTAGCTTTCGTGTGGATCCAACAATGCAAAAAGATTTAAAAGAATGAAGAAATAAGCAAGGATTAAATATCATGCTATGACTATGTAACCTAGTCTTGGGGATGAAATAGGCTGAAATGCATGATATATAGAGCTTATGCAGGGCATTGGTATGTACATGAACTGCATTAGTCACCATGGAACCTCCTACTTTTTTCTTTTATATTGTATTTGATACTTTTACCTCTTATTGGATAAAATGAAAGGATGCCCAGGATGCTGCAATGTGGTTTCTCTTCTCAATATATAAATCTAAAGGGGGATTTTGGCATTACAGTATCCACTCTCTTTTCGGGCACACAAATTCTCATATAATATCTAGAACCTCCCAGTTTTTTCTTTATAAATTCTAATTCCCAGTATTGTCATGGTGTGCTGCTAATTCGAAATATGTTAGTATTTGTTGTTCCTCTCTGTAAAATTTGGAGCATGGTTGGCCCATATGTTTTCTTTCTAATTTTGCTGTGTTGGATTTTCATTTGTGTATACATTGGCTTTTGTTTTGTGTTCCTTAGGGCAGAGAACATGGCTCGCAAAGCTACAGGAGAAGATCCATTGCCTGAAGAGGATCCGTCAAACCTCGTATTTAAGCCAATCCCTGAGCCATCTAGATTGGATAGCTTTCTGATAACAAATCAAATTTCTACCTACTGCAACCAAATTAACGGGTAAGTTACAATTCTTAAATGCAGTTAGGGATAATGTCTTTTCATATTTTATTTATGTCGTGAGGTTGACTTATTTGATGGTATGGATTATATCAAAAGAACCCATGACAATTAAAAGGTTACTTCTCTCTCTAACACATAATTGAATTCTTTCTGTCTTTCCTATTTGTGCCCTTTTTGAACATTGTACAAGTAAGTACATGCACAAATGTCTTTTTACCTATACACTAGTGCAAACATGACTGATAATATGTCAATTTGTTCATATCAATTTGTGGGTTTGTTGTATTTCCCTCTTCTTTACCATTTCCACTTTAGTGTGGATAAGAATGTGAAGACTATAAAGAAACCTGGTAGCAAGTCTCTGTCCTTCGACTGTTGCTTTTTTTTTTTTTACTTATCCATATTTGTGTCTGCCATTGAATTGTTTGAAGGTAATATATATCTCAACTGTGACATGCAGGGTTGCGGGTCAGAGTTTCAGCAGACTTTATTTAATGAAAGCTCTGCAGGAAAATTGACGGGTGCCTATTAATATTTTTGTTAATTAAATGGCATACATGGTCTTCTGGAAGTTGAAGTTCACGACGAAGTTTCATTTGTAGTCAGTCCCGTAATAGGAGGAAGATTTCAGTCTTTAGGTTTGTATTGTTGTTTACTTTATCCTTTGGTGATTTTTTTTTCAACAGTTGAAATTTACAGCAAATCATACATTAAGATTTTGATGAAAATATTGAAAATTAAGCGCACTGAATGCTAATTTTAATTGCATGTTGAGTTTTTAAATCTGAAAAACTGTTTGTTTGCATTGAATTCAAGCACTGAACTAGCAATTGTCATAGATTATGATGATTACATTTTGGATTAAATCAAGAGTTTAATTGTACTGTAACTTTCTCATCTAAGTTGAACATAAAAATTTGATCAGTTTGTGTTGGCCCCTATCTTGCTCCAAGCTCATTGAAGGTATATACTCATGCTGTTGGTGATTGCCACAGAATATGTCGTTAAACTGCGGAAGAATGTTCCTGCAATACAGTGCTTCAGAGAGAGCGTGTAATTGTCATCCTCCTCTCACTAGCCCACACAAGTGTGATCACAGTGCCAAACTATAGTGACTAGTGGCTTGTAAACCCTCTTTTACACCTTTAAGTAAGATGCATTTTTATTGGGTTCTACCTTTTTTTGGAGTGACGAAGGGATTGCCTTTTTCTGAAGTCCGAACGGTGTCAGCAAGCTTCTGTTCTTTTCAAGACGTAGCAACCGTAAAGTGAGTCTCTGTCTGGGGGCGACCCTTGGCCCTATCATCCAATTTGCTCCAACAAACTGGCATGGTGCTAAAACCACATGAATCTGAAGTGTGAAGGCTTATTACCTACTGGGGTGAGTGTACAAGCAATTTAGACTAAAGTTGCATCTTAATGAGCGGGTGTTAAAACCACATGGGGGTGAAAGTTAGCACCAGTTAAGATGAGTNCAAACTGGCATGGTGCTAAAACCACATGAATCTGAAAGTGTGAAGGCTTATTACCTACTGGGGTGAGTGTACAAGCAATTTAGACTAAAGTTGCATCATAATGAGCGGGTGTTAAAACCACATGGGGGTGAAAGTTAGCACCAGTTAAGATGAGTGTAGAAGCAAATGGGATAAGGTCATACTAACAAACAAGGACGAAGGTTACTCCGAGTGCGAGTGGGATTAACATAGAAGCAAATGGAAAAAAAGAAGAGTATAATGGGGTGAAGTTACAGCCAAACAGGGAAAAGGTCACTTCTGTTTTGAGTGGTTATATAAAAATTCGCCATGTTTATGCCGATTATCTTGAGTTTGGATATTGACCACCGTAATTTGAATAAATTTAGAACATGTACCCGAAAATAAGAATGACTGACTCTTAAAGAGTGAAAAATATTGAACCTGATACTTTTTAGGTGCGAAGCTCGAATCCCCCTCCCTTGTAATGTAGCACGGTTCATAAAAAAAGAAAAAAAAAAAAAGGAATCCCAAAACTCTCTGCTTAACTGGTGTAAGTTGAATGGAAGCGCAAGTCTGGATTTAATGAGTGTATGAATTGAGAGATTAGTTCATGCACCTAAAGTTTGTCCTCAATTCTACTTGAACTCACGATCTTAAGCGATATAAATGCACTTCTACTTGCCAGGAACAAACCAAGAATTTCCTTGTCACAAAAAAAATGATAAAACTTTTTTTATTCAATAACATAATGATATGTACAATTTTTTATTTTCTTTTAAGTGGCATGGAAAATTGTGTCTTTACCTAAGCAAGAAAGGGGCTTGGGGATTAAAGGGATTGCAGATTGGAATAGAGCTGCTATTCTTAAACATGTTTGGAATGTTATTTGTAGATCTGACAGCTCAATATGGAGGGATTGGGTTAAAACCTACTTGCTGAAGAGGATATGTTTATGGTCNATGTACAATTTTTTATTTTCTTTTAAGTGGCATGGAAAATTGTGTCTTTACCTAAGCAAGAAGGGGGCTTGGGGATTAAAGGGATTGAAGATTGGAATAGAGCTGCTATTCTTAAACATGTTTGGAATGTTATTTGTAGATCTGACAACTCAATATGGAGGGATTGGGTTAAAACCTACTTGCTGAAGAGGATATGTTTATGGTCTGTCAAGATTCAGTCTAATTCCTCATGGGCATGGAGGAAGGTTCTGAGTCTGAGGGATGTTCTTAAGCCCTTTATTAACTATAAAATTGGTAATGGAAACACAACATTTCTATGATTAGACCCTTGGCATTCTGAGGGGCAAATTTATCATAACAGGGGGATATAATTTTGAGAGCCTCTGGATTGGGGATGGATGCTAAGGTATGTAATATTATCGATGGANATAATGGAAACACAACATTTCTATGATTAGACCCTAGGCATTCTGAGGGGCAAATTTATCATAACAGGGGGATATGATTTTGAGAGCCTCTGGATTGGGGATGGATGCTAAGGTATGTAATATTATCGATGGAAGGGAATGAGCTTGGCCTTTAGCTGATAATGTGGACCTTTTGGAGTTGAAAAGAGGGATCCCTGCTGAAATGAAATCAAATCCAGATAGTGAGGACACCTTACATTGGTTACCTTCCCCCACACTTGAGTTCAGCACTAATACTGCTTGGGAACAACTCAAGAAAAAAGGGCAAATTCAAAATTGGCATAGCATTGTATTGTTCTCCGGAGCAGTGCCCAGGTACAACTTTATTCTTTGGCTGCCTGTACAAGAGAAGCTAANACACCAATACTGCTTGGGAACAACTCAAGAAAAAAGGGCAAATTCAAAATTGGCATAGCATTGTATTGTTCTCAGGAGCAGTGCCCAGGTACAACTTTATTCTTTGGCTGCCTGTACAAGAGAAGCTAACTATCCAAGATAAATTAATTTCTTATGGAATTCTTCAAAGAGCTCAATGTGTTTTTTGTAGAGAAGTGATTGAAACTCATGCCTAGGCCTGTCAAAATCAAATACGACATGATTAATCGATACGATTAACCACTGATTAAACGGTTTTGGGTGAGACTTTAATGGGTTCGGGTGATAAACGGATTAACCCGTTTAACACGTTTAATAAACGAGTCGTATTCGGGTGAGACATGCTAACCCGTGTACAACACGTTTATCTATTTAAATAAAATTAATAAATTAATAATTTTTTAAAAAAATTAACCAATTTTTTTTTTNAATCGATACGATTAACCACTGATTAAACGGTTTTGGGTGAGATTTTAACGGGTTCGGGTGATAAACGGATTAACCCGTTTAACATGTTTAATAAACAAGTCGTATTCGGGTGAGACATGCTAACCCGTGTACAACACGTTTATCTATTTAAATAAAATTAATAAATTAATAATTTTTTAAAAAAATTAACCAATTTTTTTTTTAATAACAGCTACATAGAAAATTTATAAAATTATTTTTTCTTAACCTGAACCTAATTTTGCAGATTCTTGAACGGCTGAAAAAGGTTTGTTCAGTTGTTGCGCCTCTAGTCCATTCCAGCGGGCTCTCCATCTTTTGCTCCTCTCTCTTAGCGAGCTGCGAGTTGCGATCTAAGTTGATTAGTTTGTTGCGATCTGAGTTGTTTAGTTGTTGCGATCTGAGTTAGATCTGTGAATCTTCGAGTAAATCTGTGTTAGATCTGAGTTGATTAGTTTAGTTGATCTTCGAGCNCAGTCCAGTCCAGCGGGCTCTCCATCTTTTGCTCCTCTCTCTTAGCGAGCTGCGAGTTGCGATCTAAGTTGATTAGTTTATTGCGATCTGAGTTGTTTAGTTGTTGCGATCTGAGTTAGATCTGTCAATCTTCGAGTAAATCTGTGTTAGATCTGAGTTGATTAGTTTAGTTGATCTTCGAGCCAAGACTTCGAACATATTTGTATTAGATCTATAAATCTTCGAGTCAAGACTTCAAACAGGTAAATCTTTGAATTTAAATCTTTTTATTTAGTAATATGTGTTAGATCTGAGTTGATTAGTTTTATGTAAATTCAAGTAGAACTAGTTTCAGTTTGTTGGTGAGCTATGGAATCAAAAGACTTTCGAACTAGATGAAGATCCGGTTTTAAACATTATATATGTAGAAGGTAGTGCTTCCTGTATATTATCAGCCTTCAGGCCCTTCACCATGAAATATCTGGAATATTNGGTTTTAAACATTATATATGTAGAAGGTAGTGCTTCCTGTATATTATCAGCCTTCAGGCCCTTCACCATGAAATATCTGGAATATTTCTCCCCCTTTTACCTTCGCTATGATAAGCATTGGAACTTGCCATTTCTTAAGACATATCCTTTTCCATTATTTCTCAAGCATGTGGCAGTTCATTATGTAGTTTTCAATTTTATGTCATATAATTAACTTTACTGGGAACTGATCTTGGATAGTGTATTGTGCTAAAACTGAGTGATAATGAGAACACCACTTTGTGCAATGTTATTGGGTGACTGACTTGTTGAGCACATACTTTGTATCCTTGAATGAAGAGAAACTCAGTATAAGCTTTGTGAAAATTCTTAATAATGTCATGATCTTTTCTAGAATCAGATATCAATTTCTATGGCTGTAAATACAAAACAACTAAAAATAGAGAATAACCCTTTGGTGCCCAAAAAATAGCTAGTTTAATCTGCTAAGANTCAATTTCTATAGCTGTAAATACAAAACAACTAAAAATAGAGAATAACCCTTTGGTGCCCAAAAAATAGCTAGTTTAATCTGCTAAGATAGATCCAATGTAATTTTGTTCTTATGATCACAATTCCAAAGTACTTAACATGATTAAATGGAATGATGAATGAGACTGTTTTTAGGAAATCAATAANTCTTATGATCACAATTCCAAAGTACTTAACATGATTAAATGGAATGATGAATGTGACTGTTTTTAGGAAATCAATGATCAAATTACAATCATTTTTCAATTATTTTCTTTGCAAATACTTTTCACTTAATCAATTTAACTATATTATTTGTCTTAAACAGATGGATTCTTCTG